TGGCTTGCTGAAATATTTTGGCTTGCTTCAGGCATTGCCAGGCATTCTTATTCATACAGCTCTCAGGCGTCTTTGCTAGACTAGGAATCTGCTAATGAGGTGCCTTGTGTCTGGGGCTTGGGTTTTTTTTGCATTTCCATTGAAAATTTGCTTAAACTTAGTGATGTTCTAAGCCTCAGTGCAAACTGCATTTTTCACTCTGACCTTGGCTTTTTCGAATGACATCTCCAACCAGCTTGTTCTTAGAGACCGCACTCAGGTCTGTGTATGTATGCCATCTCAGTGAGCGGCTACGTATTTGTCAGAGCGTTTACGAGGCTGCTCTGGGTGTAGGGGAGCCAGGAACTGGTCTCTCCTGTGCTCTCTGGGATGCAGGCAGCCAGCAGCTGCCTCTCTGTTCAAAGGCAAAGGAGCTGAGCTGGCCCTGCCGCAATAGGGATGGACTCTGGTGCCTCTGTTGTTTCAGTACTGATGCTCACAGCACCCCAAGAGCTTTGCTCCTGTCTATGAGTAGCAAGTAGATGTGTGCCTGGGGCTCTCGAATTTCACTCGGAAATTTTCTGGATGTTTCCCTTCCATCTGAGCAGGGGTGTCTGTGTTTAGTGCGAACACTGCTCCTTCTTCGTGTTACAGTGGACACAGTGGAGCTCCAACAGAGTGGTCAGTTCTGGGCAGCAGAGTGTCTTTGCGGTGCATCCTGCTTTTACAAGGATATAATTGTTTGTTGCAGAGTTGCAGCTTCCTCTCTGGTTTATCTGGGTTTTGGATTAAGACCACTGCACACGCTGTAGGAGTGCACCCCTCTCATCCCCATAGATGCAGACCCCAGCTCTGTGGTCCTTCTGGTTCAGCTGGAATCTGCTGGGACAGAACAGGATCGATGAGCATTCTCTCACCCCACCCCACGCAGTGCCCTGTTTGCGTGTTATGCCGCATTTGCCAAGCGATACTTACTCCCATATGCCTGCAAAGATTTGCATGAATGAGCTTGCATTGCTCATGCTATTTTGATATAAACTTTGCTTTAAAGTGTCAGACCTCACTGACATCTGGTCATTCAGATGCACCTGTTCGGCTGCTGGCGTTAAGGGTCTGCGTGGGTCACTCACTGGGGAAAGAAGCTCTTCTCCTTGAGGAAGTCTGCGTGCTAAGAGCTGGCAAGGAGAGAGCTGGATGGATCCGGCCAAAGGTGCTGGAAGAGACTTTGCTCTGAATTGCCTATTGATTGCTTCTTACTGAATGACAGGGTTCTTCGCTGGTCTGGAAAAGGAGATGTTTGCATTC